AATGCATAGGATAGCCTGGAGATTATTGACCCTAAATGTAAATAGTGCCAAGGCTGAAAATCACTGATCAAACGGAATACGTGTTCTGAAAACGAGGACAACTTTTTTTTTAAATCATCCTGCATTCTATAAAGAACTGTAACTTCTTTCTTAAAATATTTGTCCTCTCTGCATCAGAACAGAACAAGGTTCTTATGAATTATTCAAATGGTTATATTGGTTTTTTTTTTTTGAGATGGAGTTTTGCTCTTGTTGCCCCGGCTGGAGTGCAATGGCGCAACCTCAGCTCACTGAAATCTCCCGCTCTTCAGTTCAACCAATTCTCCTGCCTCAGCTTCCCAAATAGCTGGGACTACAGACATATGTACTACATCCAGCTAATTTTGTATTTTTTTTTCTCTCTCTCTTTTTTTTAAGAAGGGGTTTCACCATGTTGGTCAGGCTGGTCTTGAACTCCTGACCTCAGGTGATCCACCCGTCTTGGCCTCCAAAGTGCTTGGATTACAGGCGTGAGCCACCATGCCTGGCCTTTTTTTTTTTTTTTGAGACAGAGTCTTGTTCTCTGTTCTGTCACCCAGGCTAGAGTGCAACTGCACAATCTCAGCTCACCGCAACCTCAGCCTCCCGAGTTCAAGCCATTCTCCTGCCTCAGGCTCCCGCGTAGCTGGGATTACAGGCATCTGCCACCACACTCAGCTAATTTTTGCATTTTTAGTAGAGAAGGGGTTTCACCATATTGGTCAGGCTCATCTCGAACTCCTGACCTCAGGTGATCCACCTACCTCAGCCTCCCAAAGTGCTAGGATTATAGGTGTGAGCCACCTCACCCAGCCATAAACTTGATTTTATCGTCTTATTCATCTGACAACTTTTAGGCCACTCTTGTTCTTACCCAAGTACATAAAACAAGAGCATCATGATGTTTACCCTGTAAAATTATGGATTTATAGTTGTTTGCCACTATCTGTATTGGCTGGTGAATAATTTTTGTGAAAATAATTGTCTAATCCCCAGTTCTAAGTTCAAAAAAAAATTTTTTTTTTTTTTTTTTCTAATAGGGTCTTTCTCTGTCACCTGGGCTGGAGTGCAGGGGCGTGATCTCAGCTGCTGGGCTCAAGCAATCCTCCTGCCTCAGTCTCCCAAGTAGCTGGGACTACAGGCATGTGCTACCACACCTGGTTTGTATTTTCTATAGAGATAATAAAAGTTTTGCCTACTGCCCGGGCTGGTCTTGAACTCCTGGACTCAAGTGATCTGCTTGCCTTGGCTTCCCAAAGTGCTGGGTTTACAGGCGTGGGCTACTGTGCCCAGCCTCCCAGTTCTAAATGTTTTCTAGTTGTGGCCCCTTTACAATTCCCCTACAGGTTACTTTTGCTACATATAAACTCTTCTTACTTCTTCAACTTCAAAATCATTTTTGCAGAGAGCAATGAATCAAAATGATAAAATCCAAACCTATTTCTATATTCTTCCTCAAAATCTTATTTATGCTTGAACTTAAAAGTTACAGTAATGGCTCTTTATCTCAAAAGTCAAAGGTTATGATCGTAATACATTTAAATAAAAAAAAACATTAGCCAGGCTGGGTGCAGTGGCTCATGCCTGTAACCTCAGCACTTTGGGAGGCCAAGGCGGGTGCATCACTTGAGGTTAGAAGTTTGAGACCAGTCTGGCTAAGAAGGTTGAACCCCGTTTTTACTAAAAAATATATAAAAATCAGCTATGTGTGGGGGCACATGCCTGTAATCCCTGCTACTCAGGAGGCTGAGGCAGGAGAATCGCTTGAACCCTGGAGGCGGAGGTTGCCAAGATTGCACCACTGTACTCCAGCCTGGGAGACAACAGCAAGACTCTGTCTCAAAAAAGACAAAAACCAAAAAACAAAAAAACCTAAACTACTAACAATTCACATTAATTATCAGCTGTTTTGTCTATGGCTTGTTTTTTTGCAAACAAGAAAAACCAAAAACTATGTATGAGGTACTACGGACAATAATATTTAACCTGAATCAAATCAATTTTTATTTATTTTTATTTTTTTTATTTATTTATTTTTTGAGATGGAGTTTCACTCTTGTAGACCAGGCCAAAGTGCCATGGCACGATCTTGGCTCACTGCAACCTCCACCTCTCGGTTTCAAGCAATTGTCTTGCTTCAGCCACCCGAGGAGCTGGGATTACAGGCATGCGTCACCATACCCGGCTAATTTTATATTTTTAGTAGAAACTGGTTTTCATTATGTTGGTCAGGCTGGTCTCTAACTCCTGACATCAGGTGATCCACCCGCTTTGGCCTCCCAAAGTGCTGGGATTACGGGTGTGAGCCACTGAGCCTGGCCAAAATCCATTATTTAAATTTAACTCTGTGTTTACAAGAAATACAACAATAAAAGAACAAATTAATTATCACCACAAATAAATAATGAAAAAGTGGGACATTCTAGAAGGAAATAATTAAATGTAGAATATGGAACATTCTATAAAACAACAAATATAGTCGATTTAAAAATGTCAATGTTGGCCAGGCGTGGTGACTCACACCTGTAACCTAGCTCTTTGGCAGGCCAACATGGTAGGATTGCTTAAGGTCAGTTTGAGAACAGACTGGGAAGGCCGGGCGCGGTGGCTCAAGCCTGTAATCCCAGCACTTTGGGAGGCCGAGGCGGGTGGATCACGAGGTCAAGAGATCGAGACCATCCTGGTCAACATGGTGAAACCCCGTCTCTACTAAAAATACAAAAAAAATAGCTGGGCATGGTGGTGCGTGCCTGTAATCCCAACTACTTAGGAGGCTGAGGCAGGAGAATTGCCTGAACCCAGGAGGCGGAGGTTGCGGTGAGCCGAGATCGCGCCATTGCACTCCAGCCTGGGTAACAAGAGCGAAACTCCGTCTCAAAAAAAAAAAAAAAAAAGAGAACAGACTGGGAAACAGTAAGAACCAATCTCTCTAAAATATTTTTTAAAAGAAAAGAAAGAATAATAATATTATATTCATGTAGGAAAATGTATTTATTCTTAGGAAATAAACGAAATATTTAATAGAAATTTCTTGAGTGTGACTTTCAAGGTGTTAAGCAAATACACAGATACTTGGTTCTTTTTTTTTTTTTTTTTTCTTTTTTTGAGGCAGGGTCTCACTGTATGCCCCAGGATGGAGTGCAGTGGCACAATCACAGCTTACTGCATTCTCAAACTCCTGAGCGCAGGTGATTCTCCTGCCTCAGACTCCCAAGTAATTGCAACTACAAGCAGGCTATTTCTATGTTTTTTTATAGACACCAGTATGCCAACTTTTAAAAAATAATTTGGCATGTGTTGGCCAGGTGCAGTGGCTCACACCTGTAATCCCAGTACTTTGGGAGGCCAAGGTGCATGAGGTCAGGAGTTCAAGACCAGCCTGACCAAGATGGTTAAAACCCCGTCTCTACTAAAAATACAAAAAAATTAGCGGGGCATGATGGCAGACGCCTATAATCCCAGCTACTCGAAAGGGGGAGACAGAGAATTGTTTGCACCCAGGAGGCGAAGGTTGCGGTGAGACGAGATTGCACCACTGCACTCCAGCCTGGGTGACAAAGCGAGACTCAATCTCAAAAAATAAATATAAAAAATAAAAATATTTGGCATGCACCAAACATTAAAAATCATTGTCTAGGTGGTGGGTTCACTGCAAGTGTTCCTTGTAAAATTATTTCCCCCTTTCTTTTCTGAGATAAGAGTCTCAAGGTGTCACCCAGGCTGGAGTGCAGTAGAGCCTCACTGCAACCTCTGCCTCCCGTGTTCAAGCGATTCTGGTCAGGGTGGTCCTGAATTCCTGACCTCATGATCTGCCCGTCTCAGCCTCCCAAACTGCTAGGACTACCAGTATGAGCCATCACACCTGGCCTCTTTCCTCCTTTTCACATGCATGAACTTTTCTTAATAAAAACTGACGCCAAGTCACCCCTGTAATCCCAGCACTTTGGGAGGCTGAGGCGGGTGGATTATGAGGTCAGGAGTTATGAGACCAGCCTGGCCAATATGGTAAAACCCCATTTCTACTAAAAATACAAAAATTAGCCAGGCGTGGTGGTGCATGCCCATAGTCCCAGCTACTCAGGAGACTGAGGCAGAAGACTCACTTGAACCTGAGAGGCAGAGGGTGCAGTGAGCCAAGATTGCACCACTTCACTCCAGCCTGGGCAACAGAGCAACATTCCGTATCAAACACAACACAACACAACACAACACAACACAACACTGAGGGGGGTGAGGAGTGGAACTACGTACTAATAACTTAGCTGTGATATTAGTACTACCATATTCTGCCATATATCTTTGGCATTTACTAAATAACTGGTAACCTTGTTGGCTCAATTTCTTACTGATTTGTTCCCAGGAGCAATTTTCACGTAGCTTGTACATATACATTGCTTTTTTTTTTTTTTAATTTTTATGCAGCCATTTTCACTTAAGATGTTGCACAATAGTTAAATAACAACTTAATCTAAGGTGGATTATGTAGGCTACCAAGGAGGTACATTACCTTCTTCCATTAATGCATTATTTGACATCTTAGTAACAGGTGGTTTCTCTACTTCGTAGTAATTGTGTTGGTAACATGATTTTTATACGCTCAGTAGGTTTTACTTAACACTGCAGGCTCATACAGAACTATTAGCAATACCCAGTCTCTTGTCTCATCCTTCCATCCATAATATGGGAATACCAAATAAATACCTGTCTAGGGGGAGGGAGATTATTTCTTAAATGCTAGCAAATACGGTAGTGTACTTTATACTAAGACCCTATATGATCAGCTAGTCAATAAAAATCTATATAACTGTAAAACCAAGACACAGACAGACCTTTTAAAACAATGCACTATTTAAAAGCAGCAAAAAGAATCCTGCAGATACATCTGTCCACTTTTAAGCTATTTAGGGAACAGCAAATGTTGTCCATCTTCATCTCAAAGAAAATTAGAAAAAGATCTGTTTTCTAAAACTCTCCTGACATACTTGGTTCTTGAAGCTCTGAATTCCTCTGTCTTGTTCTTTCATAGCTGTAAAGTCCAGAAATGAAGATGAAGAATCCAGAAATGAAGAATTTGGTATCTAACGTTTTCAATTTACTGCCAGTACATACCTGCCCAAAAATCAACATAAAAAGAACATTTGGAACAGGAAAAATGTTTTACAGAAAACAAACATTTTAAGAACACCACTTTCTTGTTCCAGGGTAAAAAATAAACAATGATAATCCTCAACATAACTGGTAATTATGTTTTCAAGTTACCTCAATTTTTGGCTCTAAAAAGGAATACCAGAAAACCTATAGGGCTGAATACTTAATCTGTGTATAAAACTAATTATAGTTAGACATGTAATAAGCTTTCATTTATTCAGTCTTTGCACAGCCCATTTTGTCCCTCACAACATGTAACTATTGTAGTAACACATATATAAGAATAATATGGGCCGAGTGTGGTGGCTCACACCTGTAATCCCAGCACTTTGGGAGGCCGAGGCAGGCAGATCACGAGGTCAAGAGATCGAGACCATCCTGGCCAACATGGTGAAACCCTGTCTCTACTAAAAATACAAAAATTAGCTGGGCGTGGTGGCGCACACCTGTAGTCTCAGCTACTTGGGAGGTTGAGGCAGGAGAATTGCTTGAACCCAGGAGGCAGAGGATGCAGTGAGCCGAGGTCGCGCCACTGCACTCCAGCCAGGTGATGGAGCGAGACTCAGTCTCAAAAAAAAAAAAAAAAAAAAATGGGTTTTAAGTAATCTTAACAACCTACCATTTCCAAACTCAAAATACTTTGATCTTGTTTGGCAGCAAATCCTGTTATCAGGAAGCACCCAAATATTAGTTCTGTGCTCTTTACTAAAACAACTAAAGCAAGCAACAAGTTCTCTCTTTTAAAAGGGTTCAATATTCAGGTGGCCCTTTCCCAAGGAAAGTATCTACTGTGATGGAAAGCTTTTCTTCAATGACTGTTGTGTGCTGTCTAAATTCCAATTCTATGCTCTCAATTTCTTTTAACTCTGCTAAAACCTAGCAATGGGTTAGTATCTCCCTTCTGCTCCCCTCCCCTTGGTTACATATAAAAATGTTTTTCAGCCAGGCACAGTCTCTCACGCCTGCAATCCCAACACTTTGGGAGGCCGAGGTGGGTGGATCAAGAGGTCGGGAGTTTGAGACCAGCCCAACCAACATGGTGAAACCCTGTCTCTAAAAAAATACAAAAATTATCCAGGTGTGGTGGCATAATCTCAGCTACTCCGGAGGCTGAGGCAGGAGAATCCCTTGAACCTGGGAGGCAGAGGGTGCAGTGAGCCAAGATTGCCATGACTGCACTCCAGCCTGGGCAATAGAGCAAGACTCCATCACACACACACACACACACACACACACACACACACACACGCAAGACTCCATCTCTCTCTCTCCCGCACCCGCCCCCCCCCCCCCACACCAAATATACATGTTTCCAGCCAGGAGTGGTAGCTCACACCTGTAATCCCAGCACTTCGGGAGCGCTGAGGCATGTGGATGGCCCGAGGTCTGGAGTTTAAGACAAGGCTGGCCAAAACGGTAAAACCCCGTCTCTACTAAAAATACAAAAGTTAGCCAGGCGTGGTGACACAAGCCTGTAATCTCAGCTAACTGAGAGGCTGAGGCAGGAGAATTGCTTGAACCTGGGAGGTGGAGGTTGCAGTGAGCTGAGATCACACCACTGTACTCCAGCCTGGGTGACAGAGTGAGACTCCAGCCCCCCCACACCCCCACCCCAAAAAATATATATATCATGGATATAGCTTAGTATCATAAAAAGAATACCAAAGAATCTATCAAAATGTTACCATATTGATATTATGACAAAGGCATCCACTAGCTCTAGGGTTTGTAAACAACCAACTCTAAAGCTTGTATTTTACAGATACGGTCAAAACAGTGGTTTAGAGAGAACATCCTCAAGGCTACAGTTAGTAAATATCCCCGTTAGGATTCAAATTAAGATTTTTTTGCTCTAGAACTCTTCCCCAAGTCACTGCCTCTTCCATCAACTTTGACTACTTGTAAATTCCCCCAAAATTCCCAAAGGGAGTTAGATTTGAATGATCTGAAGAGCAGAAACATAGGACTGATGGAATGATTCTCATTTTTTGGACTCTGAAAATTATTGAAGACGCCAAAGATTTTTTGTTTACATGAATTTTATCTTTCCACATTCACCATATTCAAAATTTTAAAATTTTAATATTTATGGATATATTTTAATACAAGCCCCATTACAAGTTAATATAAACATTTCTAACAAAAAATACTTCCCCTCCAAAAAGTGAGAAAAGTAACACTATTTTGAATCTATGCAAATCTCTTTTATGTCTAACTTGATGGTTAGATTCTCACTGCTACTTCCGCATTCAGTCTGTTGCTATATGTTGTTTCGGTTAAGAATACAATGAAAATCAGCCGGGCGCGGTGGCTCAAGCCTGTAATCCCAGCACTTTGGGAGGCCGAGGCAGGTGGATCACGAGGTCGAGAGATCGAGACCATCCTGGTCAACATGGTGAAACCCCGTCTCTACTAAAAAAATCCAAAAAGTAGCTGGGCATGGCGGCTCGTGCCTGTAATCCCAGCTACTCAGGAGGCTGAGGCAGGAGAATTGCCTGAACCCAGGAGGCGGAGGTTGCGGTGAGCCGAGATCGCGCCATTGCACTCCAGCCTGGGTAACAAGAGCAAAACTCCGTCTCAAAAAAAAAAAAAAAAAAAAAAAAAAAGAATACAATGAAAATCTAGTCAAAAAAGGGAGAGGCATTTTAATAACCTTTTCGGATAACTGTGGATAGTGGTAAATACTAAAACTCAATAAACGGTAGTTCCCTTTTTCTTTTTCTTTTTTTAAAATCAATATAGACAGGGTCTCACTATGTTTACCAGGCTCAACTCAAACTCCTGGGCTCAAACGATCCTTCTACCTTGGCCTTCCAGAGTTCTGGGATTACAGGAGTGAGCCACCGCACGCTAGGTCAAACAGTAGTTTCTTAAACCATATCAATCTACTTTTTTACTGTTAAAATCCACTGCTATATCTGGTAATTTTAAAGGATCTTTTACCTTCGAATAATTTTGAAACATCATGCATTGGTCATTTACAGAGTTTTGCCCATCTTCCAAATGACACATTTCATTATACATTTTTTAAAATTACAGTCCTTAACCAGTGATAGCATAAGCAAAGTCTTTTAAGTACTAGAAGCTGTCAAACTCCAGCTGTGAACTTTTTAAACATTCTAATTTTCACTCAAACTTTATCACTGGTAACAAATACTGTCAATTGTTTTCTTAAAAGTGACGAGCTCACTTCGTTTTCAAGAAATATCTGCCAAATATGAAGTGTGAAAAACCAGTTTGCCAGTCATTCTTTCAACTAAAAATGCTACTCCATGAAATAAGCCACTCACAACCCAATCTCACAAATGGCTTCTCTCACGACAACAATCACACCTCCATAGGCAGCACAAATGTTTTACCCATGTTTCTTATTTCATCACAAATTCTTAAAAATTGAAAAAGACATGCAGTCAAAAACTAAGACTTAATAATAGTAGGCCAGGCATGGTAGCTCAAACTTGTAATCCCAGCACTTTGGGAGGCCGAGGTGGGTGGATCACCTGAAGCCAGGAGTTAAGAGACCAGCCTGGCCAACATGAGGAAATGCCATCTCTACTAAAAACACAACCCAGGCCGGGTGCGGTGGCTCACGCCTGTAATCCCAGCACTTTGGGAGGCCGAGGCGGGTGGATGACGAGGTCAGGAATTTGAGACCAGCCTGACCAATATGGTGAAACCCCGTCTTTAAAAAAAAAAAAAAAAAAAACCCACCTCTGCCTACATGGTGAAACCCCGTCTTTTTTTAAAAAAAAAAAAACCACCACCCGGTAGGCAGAGGTTGCAATGAGTGGAGATTGTGCCACTGTATTCCACCCTGGGCAATAGAGCAAAACTCTGTCTCAAAAAAATAAAAACGGAATAAAATTAAATAATAATATTTACTGCTTCAAGGGCATTCTCAAGTAAGTAGTTTGGTGCCACTGACTTGCTTTGTGCTAAGGTACTACCAGGAGTTTTATCCAGCATTGCTTCGAACCATCAGTGTGTCTGAAAAAAAATGTCATCTATTATTTTGAAAATAGTTATGACCTTGAGGCTCCCCTGAAAGGGTACAAGGAGATCCCCGCGGGTCATCTGTCCACACTTTGAGAACTGCTTTCGTAGATTATACCACTAGTTCAAGATGGGAGTGGAAACTCCAACGAAATCATATTTGTCCCAAGAGTCCATTCTGTTACCTCCTTTAGTTTGACATACACCACCAACATAGCTCTTGAAAAGGGAAGGAAATCGGCCGGGCGCGGTGGCTCTAGCCTGTAATCCCAGCACTTTGGGAGGCCGAGGCGGGTGGATCACAAGGTCAAGAGATCGAGACCATCCTGGTAAACATGGTGAAACCCCGTCTCTACTAAAAATACAAAAAAAAGTAGCTGGGCATGGTGGCATATGCCTGTAGTAATCCAAGCTACTCAGGAGGCTAAGGCAGGAGAATTGCCTGAACCCAGGAGGCGGAGGTTGCAGTGAGCCGAGATCGCGCCATTGCACTCCAGCCTGGGTAACAAGAGCGAAACTCCGTCTCAAAAAAAAAAAAAAAAAGAAAGAAAAGGGAAGGAAATCAAGGGCACAAGGTGTCATTTAATTGTTTTAACATTTTGAACGCTTTTATGCTAAACCAGTAATTCTCAAAGTAGGGGTTAATCAGTCTCCACTGCAGGGCTGCTTATTTTAAAATGTAGAGATGACATTCCCCCCTCTGCCCCACTCAAATAAACTTGGGGGATGAGGCTCCTTCAAACTGTACATTTAACAATCTTCAAGGTACTTTTTATGCACCCAGAACTTGAGAACAATTGTGCTAACAGCTCGAATTCAGAGTTCAAGCTCTCAGACCCTGAGCTACGAGGTCTCGAAATTCCTCCTGCTCGTGCTGTTTCCCTGGTAGGGTAAACTACCTTAGAAGTAAAACCCCAGCCAGGTACTTGTAATCCCAGAACTTTGGGAGGCCAAGGTGGGTGGATCATCTAAGGTCAGGAGTTCGAGACCAGCCTGGCCTACGTGGTGAAACCCTGTCTCTACTAAAAATACAAAACTAGCCGGGCATGGTGGCACATGCCTGTAATTCCAGCTACTTGGGAGGCTCAGGCAGGAGAATCACTTGAACCCGGGAGGCATAGATTGCAGTGGGCAGATCGAGCTACAGCACTCCAGCCTGGGCAACAAGAGTGAAACTCCGTCCAAAAAAAAAAAAAAAAAAAAGCAAAACTCCATCTTTGTGGAGTTTTGAGCTGTGGTGAGATGTTGTCTATGAGCATGGAGGAACCGGCTACCCCCTGCACCAAAACAGCAGCTGCTCTGAGATGGTACAACTGTATCTTAAGTTCCATTTGGAAAACGAGACTGGCCACCAAATGACTCTTGAGGACTCTTCAGCACTACCTTTTTCTGAGCTAAGAAAGTCTAACACAAGTAAGCCGAGAAACGTTCAGCGCTACTAGCAGTTTGAGGGAATCCCACATCTGGAGAGGAAGGAAATCAGAACAACACGCAGAAAAGAGGCAAAGCAAGTGGATCAATGACAGTACTCCTTTGCAAAAGGTGCCAAGAATCTAGAGAAAATAGTCCCCGGGATAAACATGGCGCCCACCGCGGCAGGACATAATCACCAGAAAATAAAGATTCCCCGCCCCATGCCATTTTATAAATCACGGCGCCATCCCTAAAGAAATTTGGGGGCCCAGGGAGGAGACTTCGTAAACTAGCTACAGTGCACTAAGGCTTAGGATGTACTATTAGACCAAGCAGAGATTACATAACACAAGGGATCGGCTCAGCAATCACTCATTTTCCTCCTCCCGCTCAAAACGAGCGTCCCACTCCCTCTCGGAGCGGGGGCGGGGCGGGAAGGGGCTAGCACCCCCACCCCAGGGGCCGCTCCGCCGCCGCCCGCCCCCTCCGCCGCGCGGCCTCGCCCCCTCGCCGGCCCCTCCCGCCGCGCCCCGCCGTCTCGCCGCCGCCCGCGCCCCCGCCCCTTCCCCAGCGGGCCGCGGGCCGCCAGCCGCGCCCGCGCCGCCCACTCCTCCGAGACGCCTCGCGCCGGGCGTGCGTGTGGACGTCGGGCTGTGTGCGGGGCCGTGGGGCGCGAGTGCGCGCGCGCGCGCCGCGGCGGGCGCCGGGGGGCGGGGGCGGCCGGCCAGCCGGCAGGCAGGGGCCTCCGCCGCCGGCCCTTCGCGCGGCTCCCGCGGCCCGGGACGCACGCACACACACACTCGCGCTCGCGCGCCGCACCCCACGGCCGCCCCTGCCGCGGGCCGCGCCGCCGCTCGCGGTGGGCGGGGGCGCGCGCCGCCGGCCCCCCGCCCCCACCCCCGCGCGTACCGGCCCATCCCCCTCTCATTGTCTGGCCTCGGAACGCTTCGCCGAGCGAAAAGATAACGGAACCCCCGGGAGCAGGGGGTGGGGAGAGAGAAGGCTCGCTTGCTCACTCACCTCCCGTGGTCGTCGCCGCCGGTAGTCTGACCCGAGGAAGGCGCCGTCGCCTTAAAGGGACCTTGCACCCGGCGCCGGGAGAAGGGGGTGGGAGCAGGGGAGGGGACGGGGGCTTGGGGGGAGACCAAGAGGGAACCGTTGAAAGCTCGTCTCCCCAAGGGTGAAAGGAAGCCTCCCTCGGGTTCGAGTGATTTGGGGTGGATTTTTTTCCCGAGGGGGGCGGGGGGGCCCCGAGGGAGGGGGGTGGGGGGGCCGAGGAATGCGGCTCCGTGTACGGGAGCTGGCGCGGGGGAGAGAGACGCCGACTCCCCCCACCGACCCTCTCGCCCCGCGGAGGGATACGGCTCGTCACTTCCGCCCTCCCCCTCTCACGGCCTCCCAATTGGTCGCAGCGCGCCACACGTCATGGGCTCATCCAAACCCCTGCCCGGGCTTCTTTTCTGGTCAAGTTTGGCTGGGCCTGCAAATAAATAAATAAAAACATTTTTTTATAATGAAAAAAGAACAATTAGCTTCAGAAGCTGTATCTCAATTTCGGTGAGAAAAACGAGACTCCCAAAGAAAATAATCTCCAATTTCCTCGCCTAGACTTTTCCAGGGAAGTGTTGGGAGGCTCCCCCACTTTGCACTCAGGGCTCAGACCCAGTCAAGAGGGGACTTGGTGACACGGGCCAGGTGGTGAGGCCCAGTGGCACCAACAACTGCCATCGGAACAAAGGACAAAATGGCACTCACTCTTCCTCAAGAGACGCTCGGCCAAGCAGCCTTGTGGCTGCGGCCTTGTTGGAGTGAAGAACTTTTAAAAGCCATTTTGACTCTCGAGTCCTTCTGGATCTCGGAAAGAAGTGGCACACGATTGTGAATCAAGGCAATGACTGTGATGGAAACGGCTTTGCTCCCATTGTGAGTACATTCGGCAGAGATCCCCAGTTCTAAGAAACCACACACCATCCACATCCATATGCTTTTTGCGCCAATCAAGGCCGAGATGGGTTGGCTCAAAGAAATCGGCCAGTCCGCTCATGATCATCCACCTGTTTATTCTTCCCCATACAAAAACTAACCTCTTCTCCTGTAGCTAAGATATTTTGTCCTTTGTTGCCTTCTGAGATGATAAAAATGTACTCTTTTCCTTGAATATTTGAAAATGTTTGCTCTTTAAGCAGTACACAAATATTTGCTCCAAATGTGAAATCAAGGCACTTAACGCAGAAAGGGGAGATACAGAACTATATTTATTCGTTCTCTTTATGTATGTGCTCCACGGACTGTGAAAACAGCCAGTGGAAGTAGGCATTCCAAATTGTATGCACCTGCCCATGTGTGTGTCTGTGTGTGCGCATGTGCACACACACACACACACACATACACACACTCTGCCATCACCTAGCTTCATTCCATTTCATACCAAAACCATGTGAGTGACTTCCACTAGTGTCAGATGCTTAGGAGGGACTTCATTATTTGAATGAGAAGAATCACTAATCCTTCTGAAAATACTCTGAAGACGTTCCAGACCTGATCTGGAGAAGCTCATGGTAGGATTATGGGATCAATCACCAAAAGACAAACTACATAAAACTCAAATCCTATTTTATGCTGTCGTGTAATTACTATAATTCATTACATATATTTGTGTATACTACCTGTTACTTATCTTTGAAATATTCCAACATATTTTCCCATGTTCTGCGTGCCAATTTAGTCTCCCAGCCGATAAGATCAAGCACAGACTATGCTATATACTGTTGACCAATAACCCTTAGGATGGTTTATGGAAAATGGATCAGCTGGGCATAGTAGCTCACACCTGTAATCCCAGCACTTTGGGAGGCCGAGGCAGGCAGATCACTTGAGGTCAGGAGTTCAACACCAGCCTGGCCAACATGGTGAAACCCTGTCTCTACTCAAAATACAAAAAAATTAGCCTGGTGTATGGGCATGTGCCTATAATCCCAGCTACTAGGGAGGCTGAGACAGAAGCATTGCTTGAACCTGGGAGTCAGAGGCTGCGGTAAGCCGAGATCTTGCCACTGTACTCCAGCCTGGGTGACAGCGAGACTCCCTCTCAAAACCAAACAAACAAAAACCAAAAGAGAAAGTGCATCATGCATCCATTCATTCATTCAATAAATATTTATCAGGGGCTGGACATGGTGGCTCACACCTGTAATCCCAACACTTTGGAAGGCCAAGGCAGAAGGATCACAGGAGTCTGAGACCAGCCTGGGCAATGTAGCAACACCCATCTCTACCAAAAAAAAAAAAAATGTTTTTAATTAGTTGGTTGTGGTGTTCCTAGCTACTTGGAAGATTTGGGAGGATCACTTGAGGCCAGGAGTTTGAGACTTCAGTGAGCTATGATGACAGCACTGCACTCTAGCCTGGGGGGAACAGAGCAAGATCCTGTCCCTCACCGCCCCCCAAAAAAATAATTGAGTACATGTGCTAGTCCCTGTTTTAGGTGCTGGGAATACAGCAGCAGCAGCAACAACAACAACAAAAATCCCTGAATTTGTGGGATTTACACTCTAGAGGGAAAGACACATAAAATATACACATAAACAAATTGTTCTATAACCTGTTGTGAAATAACAAATGACCCCAAAACTTAGTGGCTTGAAACAACTATTTCATTATCTCTCATGGTTCTGGGAGGTAATCAGGCTAAATTAAACAGTTCTCACTTGGAATTTTGTACTCAGTGGCTAGGGCTGAAGTAATCTTCAAAAGCTTCCTTACATGCCTAGAAATTGAGGTTGACTGTTGGCTTGGACCACAGCTGGGGTTGTTGGCAGAACATTTACAAGTGGCCTCTCTGTGTAGCCTGGGCTTCCTCATATAGTGGCTGAGTTCGAAGACTGAGTGCCCCAAGAGGACCAGGCAGAGATCGGGAGCTAGTCTCAGAGGTCATATAATATCACTTCCATTACGATTCCATTACAGTTTCAGGTGGAGAACTTAGATCCTCATCTCTCAGCGGGAATAGTGGAGATGTTACATTGTGAGAAAGTGTGCAGGCCGGGCGCAGTGGCTCAAGCCTGTAATCCCGGCACTTTGGGAGGCCGAGGCGAGCGGATCACGAGGTCGAGAGATCGAGACCATCCTGGTCAACATGGTGAAACCCCGTCTCTACTAAAAATACAAAAAATTAGCTGGGCGTGGTGGCGCATGCCTGTAATCCCAGCTACTCAGGAGGCTGAGGCAGGAGAATTGCTTGAACCCAGGAGGCGGAGGTTGCGGTGAGCCGAGATCGCGCCATTGCACTCCAGCCTGGGTAACAAGAGCGAAACTCCGTCTCAAAAAAAAAAAAAGAAAGTGTGTGGAATGAGAACTTTTGTTGCAGCCACCTTGGAAAATGCAATCTGCTACACATTATGTAAATAAATATGTAATATATGAAATGGTGAGAGGTGCCATGGAGGGGAAAGGACAGGATAGGCGAATTAGGAGTGTGGTGCAGAGATGGGGGCAGAGAAGCTGCTATTTTATGTGAGATGGTCGGAGAAGTGCTCATTATTAAGGTGGCAATTGGGCAAAGACTTGAGGAAAGTGAAGCAAAGTTTAGGTTTTACTTGCAATAAAAATGAAGCTGTTGGAGGGTCTCAAACCAGGTAGTGACGTGACGTTGTCAAAGGATCACTGTGGCTGCTTGTGAAGAAGAACTAGTAGAGGCAAGGGCAGATGCAGGGAGACCAGATAGGAGGCTACTGCAGTGATCCAGGTGAGAGATGATGGTAGCTGGGACCAGGATGGGAGTCGTGAAGCCGCTCCTTCCGCTGATTGAGCTCCGTGGTGTGTTATTTACTCCTCTGTAATCTATTTTTCTGTTATTTAGTTTGTGCCCTGGGAGACAGTTTTGACCCATAATGGCTAACAAAATGAGTGATGGTGCTGTGCCTGCCACCAAGAAATAGAGAAAGACTATCATGCTTAATGTAAAAGTGGGAGTTTTGCAGGTTCTGGAAGCACCTTTGAGGAAATGGGTGAGGAAACAGAGTGAGGATCAACAAGCAATTAGGGAATGGAGTGTCTTTTGATGTTGTAAAGTGTATCCTGGCCGGGCCTGGTGGCTCACACCTGTAATCCCAACACTTTGAGAAACCAAGGCTGGAGGAACACAAGGTCAGGAGTTCGAGACCAGCCTAGCCAACATGGTGAAACCCCTGTCTCTACTAAAAATACAAAACATTAGCCTGGCGAGATGGTGGGAGCCTATAATCCCAGATTCTCAGAAGGCTGAGGCACGAGAGTCGCTTGAACCCAGGTAGCAGAGGTTGCAGTGAGCCGAGATTGCACCCCTGCACTCCAGCCTGGGCAACAGGGCAAGACTCCATCTCAAAGGAAAAAAAGGAGGGGATCTTAACTGTGCTACAGAGGAGAAAACTGATGAACTGATAGCTGGAAGATATGATCGGCAAAGCCCTTTTTTTTTTTTTTTTTTTTTTTTTTTTTTTTGAGCTGGGATTGCAGGCATGCGTCACCATGCTTGGCTAATTTGGTATTTTTAGTAGAGATGCGGTTTCTCCATGTTGGTCAGGCTGGTCTTGACCTCCTGACCTCAGGTCATCCGCCCACCTTGGCCTCCCAAAGTGCTGGGATTACATGAGTGAGCCACTGCACCTGGTGGGCAAAGACATTTTATAACTTCAGAGGATTTCAGGGAAACTCTGCCACCTTACAACACTGGTGCAGCACTTCAAAAGAGACTGCACAGTTAACACTTCTAGAAACGTGTTCCATGTGCTAAAGAGGGAATGCCCATATTAATTTGGACTGTGTTGGAACATTTTGCTGTCTTCAGCTAAAACACAGGTTTCCAGAGTGAAGTAACAGAACTGATAGCTTTGGTCTCTCTTTTGGACCATCTGGATAATGGTTTGAACCATCTTGATAATGATGGGAAACCCAAGCAGTAGGACAAATAACCCGAATAAAATCCTTAGAAATCAACTCATATGTGCCTCTATAACATACTGGGGAGGAGTCTGAAAGCCAATCCAGTCTGATATGTTGAAGAAATTGGATCCTAATAGTGGTACTCCTAAAAACTATCCCAGTCTTCAGTAGCCAACTTAGAAATTTGTTCTAAGAAAGAAAGTCAAAGGTTAATGCACATCTCAAGCTGAGCTTTTCACAGTTCGGTAGCTGGAGGGTGTTTCTTTTCTACAGTTGATGGAAATACTTGTTTGCTTCCTTGACTTAGGTTTCTGCCATGAGTTGAAAATTGGGGCCGGGCGCGGTGGCTCATGTCTGTCATCTCAGTACTTTGGGAGGCCAAAGCAGGCAGATCACCTGAGGCCAGGAGTTTGAGACTACACTCTAGGCTGGGCACGGTGGCTCAAGCCTGTAATCCCAGCATTTGGGGAGGCCGAGGTGGGTGGATCACAAGGTCAAGAGATCGAGACCATCCTGGTCAACATGGTGAAACCCCGTCTCTACTAAAAATACAAACAATTAGCTGGGCATGGTAGCACGTGCCTGTAGTCCCAGCTACTCGGGAGGCTGAGGCAGGAGAATTGCCTGAACCCAGGAGGCGGAGGTTGCGGTGAGCCAAATCGCGCCATTGCACTCCAGCCTGGGTAACAAGAGCGAAACTCCGTCTCAAAAAAAAAAAAAAAAAAAAAAAGAGACTGCACTCCAAAGATCTTTAGTAGAGATGACAAAACCCCATCTCTACTAAAAATACAAAAATTAGCTGGGCATGGTGGCCAGCGCCTGTAACCCAGCTACTTGGGAGGCTGAGGCAGGAGAATCACCTGAACCCGGGAGGTGGTGGTTGTAGTGAGCTGGGATTGCACCACTGCACTCCAGCCTGGGCAAGAAGAGTGAAACTCCATCTCAAAAATTAAAAAAAAGAAAAGAAAGAAAGAAAACTGTAACTTGGAGAAAGAAATACCTGTAACTTGGAGAATGTCAAAGAAGAGAGACAGATGATTTCAGCATGTCTTCAAAAGCAGAGTCATAGATGCCCTATGCCCTCCGTGGCATCATTTTGCTAATATGCAGACCTAATCACTTATTGTTCAGGTTCGGCGTGAGGTTGACTGGTATGTGTTGGGCGGAGAGTAGGGAGGCTCAGATGGGGAGGTTAGTACAGGCAGAAATCAGCTTCGTGGGGGATAACGCCAGATTTGTTTAAGAAATGGGTATCCCACTCTCTATAACATACACTCAGGGTTGTCAAAGCTGGGAACTCAAAGAGAGCTACTCATTTCAAAAAACGTTAAGAGAAAAACAGTGGAGACATTTTTACCATCTGAGCAGCTCCCAGATGGAAAAGATGGACAGCTGATTGCACTGATCCCGGGATTCAGCATGTGTGTAAGCAAGCATGTGTGGCAGAAAGAACACTGAAGTGCTTAACTTGACAGGCAAATTGGCATGAAATAAAGGGCAAGTGGAGATCTGCATTTGACCAATGTCAAATAAAAAGTGGGGAAGTTAGCAGCTGTGGCTGGATTTTATTTAGGAATATTATTTGCTACCTCCTTATGTTTAGAAGAGCTGAGGACTTTCCTGGAGACACAGGAGGTGAGAAAAAGCCTAAGGAAGTTCTCAGACTTGGTTTCTAAAGGAAGAATTCCTCATTAGCTTTCACTAAGAAGCAATTAAGGTCTCTGTCTTCAAAATATATTTCATAACGAATGTATGAGCAGCAACGTCATCATCATCAAGACTTCGCTGTAAGTTGCTGTATGGCCTCATAGGAGGTAATGATTTAGTTTAACTTTGAATTAAATTAATTTTTTTTTTTTTTTTTGAGACGGAGTTTCACTCTCGTTACCCAGGCTGGAGTGCAATGGCGCGATCTCGGCTCACTGCAACCTCCGCCTCCTGGGTTCAGGCAATTCTCCTGCCTCAGCCTCCTGAGTAGCTGGGATTACAGGCACGCGCCACCATGCCCAGCTAATTTTTTGTATTTTTAGTAGAGACGGGGTTTCACCTTGTTGACCAGGATTGTCTCGATCTCTTGACCTCATGATCCACCCACCTCGGCCTCCCAAAGTGCTGGGATTACAGGCTTGAGCCACCGCGCCCGGCTTAAATTAATATTTTTAAGAGATCCCCAGAAGCAAAGCTATACTTTTCTAATATAAGTTATTTCTATGGAGTTGACCAGGTATGATTATCAAGTAATTAAATTGATTCCATAAAGCTTCATGGCAAAATAAATTGGGACAATTTTATAAACATGCTTGATATGAGTTGTTCATGATAATGGATTGCAGAGTAAAATGTAATAAAAAGTTCCTTTTCCTCTAGCATACATACATCGTTTTAAAATTTAGTAGTGTTTACATTGCAATTTATTTTATTTTTTTCTTTTTTGAGACGGAGTCTTGCTTATCACCAGGCTGGAGTGCAGTGACACCAGGCTGGAGAGTAGTGGCATGATTTCTGTTCACTGCAACCTCTGCTTCCTGGGTTCAAGCAATTCTCCTGCCTCTGCCTCCCAAGTGGTTGAGACTATAGGCACATGCCACCACCTCCAGCTAATTTTTGTATTTTTAGTAGAGACGGGGTTTCCCCATGTTGACCAGGATGATCTCAATCTCTTGACCTCGTGATCCACCCGCCTCGGCCTCCCAAAGTGTTGGGATTACAGTCATGAGCGACCACACTCGACCAGTGTTTGCATTTTGTTACAGTCATGAATAATTTTCAGTTTGCAGTTGTGGACAGTAAGTAGCTTTCCAATTCATTTTTTTGAAGCACATGAGGATTAATATCATTGTTTTACAGATGAGAAGACTGAGGCATCATTCAGAATTAAATTGTTTAAAGATTCATGAAGTCAGATCCTTTTGGGTCTTCTCTTATTATTGAATATGTACAATAGGAAGTTAGAGGTGGCAAGGGGACCATCTACCACGGCAGCCAAAGACCCATTTTTAATGCCTTTTCTGTTACCTGAAACATAAAGGTAGTAAAATCTGACAATATGAGAATGCCGCGATTCACCAGTTTAATCATTTTGTAGGAGGAAAATGATTTAAATTTCATTCATCCAGAAAATAATTCTCATTTCTCAGTTTGCACGTAAATGTAGCTGTGTGTATAAGTGCTGTGTATTGGCTGGGCGCGGTGGCTCGTGCCTGTAATCCCAGCACTTTGGGAGGCTGAGGCGGGCGGATCACGAGGTCAAGAGATCGAGACCATCCTAACCAACGTGGTGAAAACCTATCTTTACTAAAAATACAAAAATTAGCTGGGCATGGTGGCATGCACCTGTGGTCCCAGCTACTCGGGAGGCTGAGGCAGGAGAACCTCTTGAACTGAGGAGGTGGAGGTTGTAGCGAGTGGTGATGATGCCACTGCACTCCAGCCTGGTGACAGAGCAAGACTTCGTTTCAAAAAAAAAAAAAAAAAAAAAAAAAGTGCTGTGCATCCTATGTACCTTGCTTCCTGAAAGGCTCTGATCTCTCTTTCTCCTATTCGGAGATCTTATTCCTAGCCTAGAAAAGTGAACCTTAACCTTTTCTGCATCATGATCCCCTCAAAAATTTCTATAAAAGCTATGAATTTTCTCCCCCAGAAAAATGCACATTTGTAGATATATACAACCTTTTGCAAGCACTTTCAGACTTGAATTCTGTTTCTGGGCTTGTTCATGAACCCCATTGGACAAGATGCTTCTAGTCAGGCACGGTGGATCACACCTGTAATCCCAGCACTTTGGGAAGCTGTGGTGGGTGGATCACTTGAGGTCAGGAGTTCAAGAGCAGCCTGGCCAATATGGCGAAACCCCACCTCTACTAAAAATACAAAAATTAGCCAGGAGTGGGGGTGCAGGCCTGTAATTCCAGCTACTCCTGAGGCTGAGGCATGGTATGTGGAGGTTGCAGTGAGCTGAGATTGTGCCACTGCACTCCTCCCGGGTGACAGAGCAACTCTGTCTCAAGAAAAAAAAAAAAAAAGAGAGAGATGCTTCATTCCCTGTCTTTCTAGAGAAATGATACATTTCTCAATAACCATAAATGAACATATGCCCAAAGAACTAGAGTTTCTTCTACTCTAACATGAGGCTTATTAGTATGATATTTCTATATTACTACTATTATTTTACTTCTTTACCTTTGCCCATGATGTTCTTCGGCATGTAGGAAAGTCCGGGAACCTCTAGAACCCACAAGATGACCAGATAGTCTAGCCACTTCAGCCAATTGAGTTGATATAATTGGCATTAAGGAGGTTATTTTGATTCTCCAACATAGCAAGAATAGTGGCTCTCCTGGGATGCCTGCATCTACTACATTGACTGTGGCTCACTGAATATTCATGTACTCTCATTTCCCAGCCTCCCTTGTAGCTGTATCAGGGCCTCAAGATTGAATTCTTGTAAATGGGAATGCAATTGATAGATAACTTCTGGCCCAGGAGTCTTGCTCTCTTGCCAGGCTGGAGTGCAATGGCACAATCTCAGCTCACTGCAACTTCCGCCTCCCAGGTTCAAGTGATTCTCCTCCCTCAGCCTCTTGAGTAGCTGGGACTACAGGCATGCGCTACCATGCCCAGCTAATTTTTGTATTTTTAGTAAAAACAGAGTTTCACCATATTGACCAGGATGGTGTCTATCTCTTGACCTCATGATCTGCCCGCCTCAGCCTCCCAGAATGCTGGCATTACAGGTGTGAGCCACCATGCTCAGCCAACTACCCTTCAATTCCCTCCTCTTTTCCCATTAAATGAGATGATAGAACCAGAATGTGAAAGCATTCTAGATTTCTGAGTCACCCCATGGAGTAGAGTTGAACTAGTGAGTTGCCCAGAATACATCAGACTTTACCAGAATAACAACAAAAAATTTTACTGTGCTAGATCACTGAGATTCCAGGATTACTTTGTTAATGCAGGATAGCCTAATTATACTGACTAATAAACTGGTATAAAGGTTGAACTGAAAAAAATAAGAAGTTCCCAGGACACTTTTATGGTGAAGAATGTGAGACAAGGCCAGGTACAGTGGCTCACCCCTATAATCTCAGAACTTTGGGAGGCCAAGGAGGGAACATTGAGTCCAGAAGTTCAAGACCAGCCTGCACAACATAATGAAACCCTATTCTCTACAAAAAGTAAAAGGTTAGCTGGGTGTGGTGGTGTGTGCCTGTAGTCCCAGCCACTGGAGAGGCTGAGGCAGGAAGACTGCTTGAGCCCAGGATTTTGAGGCTGCAGTGAGCTATGATTGTGCCGCTGCACTCTAACCTAGGTGGCAGTGTGAGACCTGTCTCTAAACAAACAAACAAAAAAACAACAAAAAAGAATGAGAGACAACATGGTAAACTGGGTGGAGCGTGATATTAGTTACATAATGTATAAAATGCCTAGGTCAATACTTTACAGTAGTCACTCCATAAATGGTAGCTTTCTCTAATAGTTCTTAAGATATTCTATATTGCAATATAAATGTTTTACGGGACATGAGAAATACTATACTCATGGGTTACAGGCTCCCTATTCTGATTCTTTCTGAGATTTTTTTTTTTTTTTTTTAGAAAGAGAAAAATAATAATAAGAAAAAGAATAAAGAAGAGGAAGAAAGAGAAAGAGGAAGAGGGAGAGAGAATAGGGGTATTGCTTTGTTGCCCGGGCTAGAATGCAGTCTAAATATGGGTATGCCTATAATTGTCCTTAATAATGGAGACATGAAAGAAAATGAGGGAAGAGAGTAACAAACAAGGAGCCAACCAACATTTCGTTTAAACTTATAAGTTGATATGATGTGGTACTGATAAGAGTGTATATTTTGTGTAAAGTGGAGAGTTCTATAAATGTTAATTACGTTTACTTGTTCCAGATCTGAGTTCAAGTCCTGGATATCGTTGTTAATTTTCTGTCTCATTGATCTGTCTAGTATTAATGTTGAAGTCTCCCACTATTATTGTGTGGGAGTCTAAGTCTCTTTATAAGTCTTGTATGTCTGGGTATTCCTGTATTGGGTGCGTATATATTTAGGACCTTTAACTCTTCTTGTTGTTGCATTGATTCTTTTATCATTATATAATGTCCTTCTTTGCTTCTTTTGATCTTTGTTGCTTTAAATACTATTTTATCAGAGGCAAAAATTGTAACTTCTGCTTTTTATTTATTTATTTTTGCTCTCTGGTTGGTTGGTAAGTCTCTCTCCATCCTTTGTTTTGAGTCTTTGTGTATCCTTGAATGTGAGATGGGTCTGGATGCAGCATACAGTTTTAGTTTTTTGTCCAAATTGGCTGTCTGTCTTTGAATTGGGGAATTTAGTCAATTTAAATTTAGAATTAATAATAATATATGTGAGTTTAATACTGCCATTTGCCCATTAGTTGATATAAATTCTTCATTATATTAATGTTCTTTACTTTTTGGTATTTTTTAGAAAGGCTGATACTATTTGTTCCTTTCTATGTGTAGTGGTTCTTTCAGAAGCTCTTGTAAAGCAGGCCTGGTGGTGATGAATTCTCTGAGTGCTTGCTTGTTCACAAAAAACTTTATTTTTCCTTCACTTATGAAGCTTAGTTTGGCTGGATGTGAAATTCTTGGTTGAAAATTCTTTTCTTTAAGGATGTTGAATATTGGTTCCCACTCTCTTCTGGCTTGTAGGGTTTCTGCTGAGAGATCTGCTGTAAGTCTGATAGGCTTCCCTTTGTGGGTAACCTGACCTTTCTCTCTGGCTGCCCTTAGTATTTTCTCCTTCATTTCAACCCTGGTGAATCTGACGATTATGTGCCTTGGAGTTGCTCTTCTTGAGGAATATCTTTGTGGTGTTCTCTGTATTACCTGGAGTTGAATATTGTCCTGCCTTACTAAGTTGGGAAAATTTTCCTGAATAATGTCCTGAAGCATATTTTCCAGCTTGGATTCATTCTCTTCGTCACATTCAGGTACACCTATCAAGCGTAGATTAGGTCTTCATAGTCCCATATTTCTTGGAGACTTTGCTCATTCCTTTTTATCCTTTTTTCTCTAATCTTGTCTTCTAGTTTTATTTCATTAAGTTGGTCTTCGACCTCTGATATCCTTTCTTCTTCTTGATCAATTCGGCTGTTAAAACTTGTGCATACTTCACGTAGTTCTCGTATTGTGTTTTTCAGCTCCATCAATTCACTTATTTTCCTCTCTAAATTTTGTATTCTTGTTGACATTTCGTCAAACCTTTTTTCAAAGTTCTTAGTTTCTTTAGATTGTGTTAGAACAAGTTCTTTTAATTCACAGAAGTTTCTTATTATCCACGTTTTGAAGCCTGCTTCTGTAATTGGAACACACTCGTTCTCCATCAAGCCTTGTTTCGTTGCTGATGAGGAACTGGGATCCCCTGCTGAGGAAGAGGCGTTCTGATCTTGGGTATTCTCAGCCTTTTTTGACTGTTTTCTTCCCTTCGTTGTAGATTTATCCATCTGTGGTCTTTATAATTACCGTCTTTGTAATTGGGTCTCTGAGTGGACGTCCAACTTATTGATTCTCAGCGCCGAAATCTGAGCAACCCACTGCGCCGACTAAATCAGCGGCGTTAAGATTGGTGGTGCTTTTCTGACTCTGCACCGAGAACCGACACTCCGAGGCGCCGGCAAAACCGCCTCGCCGGTCACAAGAGTCGCGCTGGCGACCCGTGGGGCTCCTCCGCTGGGAATCTCCTGGTGCGTGAGCAACAAGAATTCATGTGAAGGTATGGTGTCCTCTCGTTCTTTGTGCTTTCACTGGGAGCTACAATCTCGAGCTGCTAGTGATCAGCCATCTTGGATCTCTCTCAATTTTTTCTACCGAGATTTTTTTATCTTAAAATATCTTTTCCAAATACTTTGGGTTGGCCAGGCGTGGTAGCTCGCGCCTGTAATCCCAGCACTTTGGGAGGCTGAGGCGGGTGTATCACCTGAGGTCAAGAGTTCGATACCAGCCTGGCCGACAAGGTGAAACCCTGTCTCTACTAAAAAAATAAATAAATAAATACAAAAATTAGCTGGGCCTGGTGGCATGTGCCTGTAATCCCAGCTGCTTGGGAGGCTGAGGCAGGAGACTCGCTTGAACCCTTGAAGGCAGAGGTTGCAGTGAGCCAAGATCATGCCACCGCACTTCAGCCTGGGCAACAGAGCAAGACTACATCTCAAAAAAAAAAAAAAGTACTTTGGCTCTTGGGCTCAAGCATCTTTTATAAAATTGCTTGAAGTAATAACTTCCAAGAAATAAGTAGTATTGTTCTTAACAGTCAAGCATTTAGTAAAAGCTTACTATTTCTTCTACATGTTAGTTAACAAAATATCACAATGGGTAACATAATATTGTCAAGTGTTAATTTGTGTGGCCCAGGCAACTAAAGAATATGACATATAAAATGATGTAAATGTGTGAGACAGACAGCACCTTCTGGGAAGAGATAGGAGAGGTCTGTGCAGGCTCAAGTCTTTGGTGAAAAATTCTTGAAAGGAGTGGGTTCAGATTTTTATTATTATTATTTTTTTTTTGAGACGGAGTTTCACTCTTGTTACCCAGGCTGGAGTGCAATGGCGAGATCTCGGCTCACCGCAACCTCTGCCTCCTGGGTTCAGGCAATTCTCCTGCCTCAGCCTCCTGAGTAGCTGGGATTACAGGCATGTGCCACCATGCCCAGCTAATTTTTTGTATTTTTAGTAGAGACGGGGTTTCACTATGTTAACCAGGATGGTCTCAATCTCTTGACCTCGTGATCCACCCACCTTGGCCTCCCAAGGGTTCAGATTTTATCTTAAAGAAGGGGTAGGAGTGCTGGGCGTGGTGGCTCACACCTGTAATCCCAGCACCTTGGGATGCTGAGGTGGGCAAATCACGAGGTCAGGCATTTGAGACCAGCCTGGCCAACGTGATGAAACCCTGTCTCTATTAAAAATGCAAAAAATTAGCCGGGCGCGGTGGCTCAAGCCTGTAATCCCAGCACTTTGGGAGGCTGAGGCGGGCGGATCACGAGGTCGAGTGATCGAGACCATCCTGGTCAACATGGTGAAACCCCGTCTCTACTAAAAATACAAAAAATTAGCTGGGCATGGTGGCACGTGCCTGTAATCCCAGCTACTCAGGAGGCTGAGGCAGGAGAATTGCCTGAACCCAGGAGGCGGAGGTTGCGGTGAGCCGAGATCACGCCATTGCACTCCAGCCTGGGTAACAAGAGTGAAACTCCGTCTCAAAAACAAAACAAAAAAAAAAATGCAAAAAATTAGCTGGGTGTAATGGCAGGTGCCTGTAATCCCAGCTACTCAGGAGGCTGAGGCAGGAGAATCGCTTGAAGCCAGGAGGCGGAGGTTGCAGTGAGCTGAGATTGCGCTGTGGTTCTCTAGCCCGGGAGACAGTGCAAGACTCTGTCTGAAAAAAAAAAAAAGAAGAAGAAGAAGAAGGTGTAAAATGTAGATAAGTGAGAGAAAAGAAGAAAGGCATTCCAGATGGGCAACAGATTGGTGAAGTTACTGATAAAACCCACCCACAAAGGGGCCAGGCACAGTAGCTCCCGCCTGTAATCCCAGCTGAGATGGGCAGATACATGTCTAGCACTTTTCCCTTTCTCCCTTTTTCTTTTCTTTTCTTTCTTTCTTTCTTTTTTTTTTTTTTTTTTTTTTGAGATGGAGTTTCGCTCTTGTTACCCAGGCTGGAGTGCAATGGTGCGATCTCGGCTCACCGCAACCTCCACCTCCTGGGTTCAGGCAATTCTCCCGCCTCAGCCTCCTGAGTAGCTGGGATTACAGGCACGTGCCACCACGCCCAGCTAATTTTTTGTATTTTTAGTAGAGACGGGGTTTCACCATGTTGACCAGGATGGTCTCGATCTCTTGACTTCGTGATCCGCCCGCCTCGGCCTCCCAAAGTGCTGGGATTACAGGCTTGAGCCACCGCGCCCGGCCCCTTTCTCCCTTTTTCTCTTACCCCTTCAACTTCCCACTATCCCCCAGGCTCAGAAAACACAGACTTTCCCTCCTCTGCCTACCATGTTCCTCTACTGTTGAGTGACAGGCATCCTGGCAATCACATGTAGATAGCGTAACTTCTCTACCTTTTGGGAGAACTCAGTGAGAAATCCCATTTCTACTAAAAATACAAAAATTAGCCAGATGTGGTTGCAGACACCTATAATTCCAGCTACTCAGAAGTCTGAGACAGGAGAATAGCTTGAACCCTGGAGGCAGAGGTTGCAGTGAGCCAAGATTGCTCTGCTGGACTCCAGCCTGGGCGACAGAGAGAGACTCTATCTCAGAAAAAAAAAAAAAAAAAAAAAACAAAAAAACCTTCAGGTTTTCATATAACCTATGTGGGAGGATAAAATTTTAGAAATAAATAATAAGGCAGCCGGGCATGGTGGCTCACGCCTGTAATCCCAAAACTTTGGGAGGCCGCAGTGGGTGGGTCACTTGAGGCCAGGAGTTCCAGACCAGCTTGGCCAACATGGTGAAACCCTATCTCTATTAAAAAAAAAAAAAAAAAAAAAAAAAAAAAAAAAAAAAAAAAAAAAAACAATAAAAAAAAAGGCCAGGTGTGGTAGCTCACACCTGTAATCCAGGCACTTTGGAGGCCAAGGCGGGCAGATCACCTCAGGTCGGGAGTTTAAGACCAGCCTGACCAACATGGTGAAACCCCGTCTTAAAAAAATAATAGTAATAAGGGAAAAAAAGATAAAGAAAAATTAAAAGTTTTAATTAAAGTAAAATAGATCCATGGGGATATCTAATGACATGATAGTCCAGCAACCCACATTTTTCTGAGACTGCACTGGAGGCAGATCTTTCAGGCACATTTGTAATATGTCCACTGTCCAGGGGACAGGATAGAAGAAGAGCCATAGAAAAAAGGGGAACTTGGCAGAATTGCCTTCATATTTCAAGTTATAGCTTTCTTTACTGAAATAATAGCTTTAAAGAGACAAATTAAGGCCGGGCGCGGTGGCTCAAGCCTGTAATCCCAGCACTTTGGGAGGCCGAGGCGGGTGGATCACGAGGTCGAAAGATCGAGACCATCCTGGTCAACATGGTGAAACACCGTCTCTACTAAAAATACAAAAAACTAGCTGGGCGTGGTGGTGCATGCCTGTAATCCCAGCTACTTAGGAGGCTGAGGCAGGAGAATTGCCTGAGCCCAGGAGGCGGAGGTTGCAGTGAGCCGAGATCGCGCCATTGCACTCCAGCCTGGGTAACAAGAGCGAAACTCCGTCTCAAAAAAAAAAAAAAAAAAAAAAAAGAGACAAATTATTCACAAATCATTAGTATCAAATGTTGAGATGGGAAGATGATAAGCAAGAAAGGTAATTAAAGTCTGTACTATTCTTAAAATGAAATCCTGTCTAAGCATAGATGAATAAATTAGATGACTTTTCAACCTTTCCAATGTAAGCATCCTTAAAAAAGTTCCACTGTCTAGCACAGTGGTTTTTAAACATATTTTGACAGCCACCCACAGTAAAAAGTATATTCTACAGATTGACTGGTTCACACACAAACACACAGTACTTTTTCATAATTCAGGTTTCATGAAAGACTGCCGATCCTCACTGTGTGATAGCTTTCTATTCTCCTTTATTATACTTTTTTTTTTTCTTTTTTTTTTTTTTGAGACAGTGTCTTCCTCCGTTGCCCAGGCTGAAGTGCAGTGGCTTAAACATGGCTCAGTGCAGCCTCGAACTCCTGGGCTCAAGCAATCCTCCTGCCTCAGCCTCTGGAGTAGCTGTAGCACAGAAGTGCAACACCATACCCGGCCTATTTTATTTTTTATTTGCAGAGATGGAATGTCCCTATGTTGCTCAGTCTGGTCTCCAACCTGGGGCCTCAAGTGATTCCCCCTGCCTCGACCTCCCAAAATGCTGGGATTACTGGAGTGGGCCACTATGCCCAGCCCTTTTTGCCTTCATTCCATCCTATTCCTTCCTAATATTCCTTGTCACACTAATTTTGCCACCCACAATTTGAAAAATATGGGTCTAGTGGATTATCCCAATCATTATTTCTGCGGGTTAGCTTCCTTTTACAGAATACAATAAAATTCAGCAAACTGCCTGAAAGAGCAGTTTCTAGATTTGACTTTTACCTCTAGGGTTTATGAAGTCATTCTCAGGTGACCTGAATTTCCCTATACGTGAACCTCAGGACGTGGGATCCCGGGGTGGGGAAGAATAGATAACATGAGAACAGAAAGAACTGCAGGGTCTGAAGACAAGAATCATTTGTCTAATGGAGTCTATTTCATATCCATTTTTTTAAAATCTCCATTTAAGAGATTTAGCTTCAACGTGCACTTTGACCGATTAATCCAACAAACCAAACTCTGGCTTGGGGGCCCAGTTAGTCATTCTCAGGGAAGGAGACCTCTGTTTGCAGAACCAGGGCTCTGGTGGGTCCCTCCCACGTCCCCAGCCTTCTCTGGCCTCGGGTAACTTTTCCCTCCAGTTTGGTGGAAGGTTACATTAGAAGAAAATAGTCCCTACCGTCTAGAAACTTTTCAGGGAGAAAGAGGGCGTTGGACGTGCGGGTGGGTGGGTCTACCGCGAAGGGACAGCAGGAGCCGCGAACGCGCTGGGCCCTCGGCGCGTGGGTGCGGAGGGCGCGGGGCGGCAGGGGGCACTGGGGAGCAGGGGGTGCAGAGCCCCGAAGTCCAGAAAAGGGCTGCGTCCGCCCTGCGCTCTTCTGCCAGCGCCCGCAGCCCGGGAGGGAGCGGCGAGGTGGGATCCGAGGTCTGCTGAACCCTCGAGCGGGCTTGGGTTTCCAGGAGCCGCCTTTTCTTACTGAGCATTTCTCTTTGTCATCATGATCTCTTGGCCTCAGACTGCGTTAAGGGAGCTATAGTAGGAGTGCAGAAATTAAAGTGACCTGGAGGAAAAAGAAAAAAAAAATGTGATGTTTAAAATACAGTTTTTTCCTACCTCCTTTTTCTATCTCAAATTAATTTAGATGTAAATAACCTTTTAACAGGCTGCAAGGTCAGGCTCCCAGGCCCTGTCTTCTGCTCTCAGTTGACACTAGAGTAAGATTTTGTTGTGGTAATTTTGCCAGATGGAGGCCTGCTCCCCAAAACATCATCCTGGTGAGTGATGAAGATTTCTGTAGGTGATGAATTTTGAGTTTTTGTTTTACTTCATTCTAATCTAATACACGTCCCTGCTTCAAGTGGATAAGATTATATACCTGGTCCAGTCCAGGTTTAATTCAGATTCTTTAAAAAATTTCAAAAAGAAAGAAACAAACAAACAAACAAAAATTGCAGTGGCAAGTCATTTACGAGCTTCTCTTTATTGAGATTTAGGAAATTTTGCTTTATTGTTCAAGCATTTTCAGTATTTTTTTGCTGTGTTCTTAGTGTAGATAGAAAACAACCTCTCACTGTCTACCAGTTGGCCCTGTCAACAAGCATTTGGGAAGTGCTTAGATCAGAATGATGTTGAGTACTACAAATTAAACAATCCGATGTACTTGTTAATTTCATTACAAACAGCAATTAGAATTTCATATACATATAGTTGGTACCATGCTGTCTACCAGAAATCTTTGTAAATATAAATTCCTTAAATGTAGGGACACAGTTGTATTCTTCAGTGAAAGGAAGCTAATCTCCTTTTGGTGCTGTGCATTTAAAAGGATCTGGGATGTAAGAGGCTCATCAAATGATAGCTGTTAGTGTTATTTATCTTGATATCTTCCAAAGGGCTTTGCACATAGGGAACACTAGTGAATATTGGTTGAATGAATGAAGGTGCCATGGCCCTTACGGCACTATACCGAGAGAAAAGACCAGGCCGGGGACTCTGGCACGGTGATTTCGTTTCATCAGTGAAGCTTTGTGTAGAGGTGTCCCTCCTGCAGCCCTTTTATCAGATGTAGGCTCCCTTGACCTTGGATTGTGGACCACTTAAATTTTTCAGGGGAAAAAAGTGTGCCTCATTAGCTAGTAGGGCCTAACCTCTTGTCAAGATGGAACTTGAGAAGTTTGTCTAAGTATGGAAAAGCTAAGCTCACTTGACACAGATCACGGGAGGAAAGATTTCTACATGTTATTCAAGTTATTCACGTCAAAAGCGATTAGGGGGCCCCAGCTTCCATTACATCATTCATTAGGAAAATGTGTGCTGGGAGCTCTACAAATCACGTGATTTGATGGAGGCATTAAGACTGCATTTCTTGTGTGTCTGCCCTTGGCCATATTCAGTTTTCAGTATGCCTGGAAAAGACTGAAGCAGGACATGGAAATCTAGTTTATTTTAATGCTGTCAGACGGCTAAATGGTGGAAACTTGTTGAAGAGATTTACTGAACTGTTTCCTTAGATTGAAGACTTTAGTGAATTAATTAACAGGGTTCTGAGAGATACAACATGCCAGACCCCTACTGACTCATGAGTGTACGTTCTCACTGATGCGATGTGACAGCTGAGCACGGTATATGTAAAGCTGCAGGGGAGTAATACAGGAGCAGTGCTGATGTGTTCTAAAGAGACATGCAGGTGTTCAGATGAGAACTGGCCGTGACAGCTGAATCAGCCAGGTACTGGACTCATTTCCTTTTGCTTAGGCACCGTGAGCTCAGTAGAAGCACAGACTTTGACAAGGTGCTGAACCGTTTGGTAAAAATGAAGTCACAATTTTGGAAGAGCTTCACTGATTTTGATGTGTAGGTATTGTTTCATGTTTTAGCTGTTGTGTTTAGAATGCTCACCTTAAGATGGTTCTCAGTTACCATGCTATATCTGTGCCACGCCATTTCTAGAGCAATTATCTTAGCTGAAAGTGAACTACACCTATAAGAAGACAAATATCCCTGTAGAGACATTTGTAGATGAATTGTGGAAGTATTTTAAAACTTTTGGCCAGATTTTGGAGAACGTTTGGGTCTAGCTGGTACAGAAAGCACATTCTGTTTTATGAAAATAGCAACACTGAAGTGAAATGATATCGTTAATATATACCTGTAGTCAGAAGCTCAATGTGCCCTGGCAGATTACAATTTATTTATTCACTCAATGCATGTTAGTTGAGTACTACGCCTTGGAGATTCCTCACTTCCTGTAGTCTGTAACAGTGCCTTCCATAGGAAGATAATGAGAGCCACATATGTAATTTAAAATTTTCTACTAGCCACATTAAAAAATTAAAAAGAAACTGATAAAATTAATGTTAATAATATTAATATATTTTATTTCACCAAATATATCTAAAATATTATCCTAATATGTAATCAATATAGATTTATTGTTGCTTTTTTTGTTTTGTTTCTTTTTTTTTTTTTTTTTTTTTGAGACGGAGTTTCGCTCTTGTTACCCAGGCTGGAGTGCAATGGCGCGATCTCGGCTCACCGCAGCCTCCGCCTCCTGGGTTCAGGCAATTCTCCTGCCTCAGCCTCCTGAGTAGCTGGGATTACAGGCACGCGCCACCATGCCCAGCTCATGTTTTGTATTTTTAGTAGAGACGGGGTTTCACCATGTTGACCAGGATGGTCTCGATCTCTTGACCTCATGATCCACCCGCCTCGGCCTCCCAAAGTGCTGGGATTACAGGCTTGAGCCACCGCGCCCAGCCTTTTTTTTTTTTTTGAGACAGAGTTTCGTTCTTGTTACCCAGGCTGGTGTGCAATGGCGTGATCTCGGCTCACTGCAACCTCCGCCTCCTGGGTTCAAGCAATTTTCCTGCGTCAGCCTCCTGAGTAGCTGGGATTACAGGCACACGCCACCATGCCTAATTTTTTTTTTTTTTTTTTGTATTTTTAGTAGAGATGGGGTTTCACCATGTTGACCAGGATGGTCTCGATCTCTTGACCTCATGATCCACCTGCCTCGGCCTCCCAAAGTACTGGGATTACAGGCACGTGCCACCATGCCCAGCTAATGTTTTGTATTTTTAGTAGAGACGGGGTTTCACCATGTTGACCAGGATGGTCTCGATCTCTCGACCTCGTGATCCACCCGCCTCAGCCTCCCAAAGTGCTGGGATTACAGGCTTGAGCCACCGCGCCCGGCTGATTCTCCCTTTCACTCTCTTCTTTCTGCCTCTTACTTTCCTCCCCAGCTCCTTCCTCTTATCACCGATCATTCGTTTATCTGAATTTCTTTTTTTTTCTTGCCTTTCATTTGCTTTCCATTTTCTTTTCTTCCATCTTTACTTTCTCTCCTTCCTGCTTTAGTTTATTTTAATATAGAATTAAAATAGATTTAAAAATTCATTCTTTAGTTATTTCCTTCTGAGTTCCAAGTTTTTCATTTAAAAATTAAAAGAGCTTGTCAGGAAATAGGTGTAAAACAAAACAAAACAAAATTAAAAGAACTTGGCCAGGCGTGGTGGCACACACCTAGAATTCCAGCACTTTGGGAGGCCAAGGTGACGGATCACTTGAGGTCAGGAGTTCGAGACCAGCCTGGCCAACATTGTGAAATGCTGTCTCTACTAAAAATACAAAAAATTAGCTGGGTGTGGTGGTGCACGCCTGTAGTCACAGCTACTGGGGAGGCTGAGGCAGGAGAATCGCTTGAACTTGGGAGGCCAAGGTAGCAGTGAGCTGAGATCACGCCAGTGGACTCCAGCCTGGGCGACAGAGTGAGACTCTCAAAAAAAAAAAAAAAAAAAAAAAAAAATAAATAAATAAATAAATAAAAAGAGCCTGACCTTTTATCAGGATTAAGTTGAGATGCTTTTTACTTCAGCATGGTCTTCAGTTAACTTTTTTTTGTAGTTTGGAGAGCTTCTTTGGAAAAATGTGTATAGTCTCCTAGAAGGAGGAAAACAATCCCCTTCACATTTTATAGGGGGAAAATGGTGCAGTCACCTCCAAAGGGTCATGTGATGATTTGAAACTAGTCAGGAGAACCCAGTCTCTCACCACAGCCCTTCCTCTCTTAGGCAAATTTCTACCTCCTGGCAGTAGAGCAGTGAGGCAAGTTAATTATTCAGTGTCTGTGGAGGTCAAAAAATAAATGAAATATCTAATTAAATAAACTTTTGGAGTGCTGAGAGCAGGCAGGTTCCTTAACTTTACACATTTCCCTTCAGAGGACCAGTTCTCTTCCTTGAAACAACAGCCAATCTAGCCATACGGGCTGTTTCCTTTAAGTTCTGAGAAGGTGGATTTATGACCCTCTGTGTACTCATCTTTCTGTTTCTGTCTCTGACATAGACAACTCTGCCAGGTGCCAGCACTCCTTCCACCTCCGCTGAAAGCAAGGAGACATCCTGAAATCACAGAAGGAAGAAAGGAAGCTACAATTCGAGGACCTCTTGCTGCCAAGGCACAGTAGACGCAAATACAAAACAAACGAGGGAGGATTTTAGCCTAGAAAATAAATCTCACGCTGGCACGGTACTCATGCCTCTAATCCCAGCACTTTGGGAGACCGAGGCCGGCGGATCATGATATCAAGAGTTCAAGACCAAGGCCGGGCGCGGTGGCTCAAGCCTGTAATCCCAGCACTTTGGGAGGCCGAGGCGGGTGGATCACAAGATCGAGAGATCGAGACCAACCTGGTCAACATGGTGAAACCCCGTCTCTACTAAAAATACAAAAAATTAGCTGGGCATGGTGGCGCGTGCCTGTAATCCCAGCTACTCAGGAGGCTGAGGCAGGAGAATTGCCTGAACTCAGGAGGCGGAGGTTGCGGTGAGCCGAGATCTTGCCATTGCACTCCAACCTGGGTAACAAGAGCGAAACTCCATCTCAAAACAAACAAACAAAAAAGAACAGCTTATCTCTAGGCTGGGCACAGTGGCTCATGCCTATAATCCTAGCACTTCGGGAGGCTGGGGCAGGAGGATCGCTTGAGCTCAGGCATTTGAGAGAAGCCTGGAAA